CCTCCATAATTCAAATCCTATGAGAAGATTCATTCATTCCTTCTCACCTTCCCATTTCCCCTCCACTGTAAGAGCCTTTTCTTTTCTGTTTTTTTTTTTGTGAGATGATTTACCCCATTCTACCTCTCCCTTTCTTCTTCTCCAAATATAATCCTCTCTCATCTTAATTTTATTCTCCAGATATGACCCTTAATCTTCAACTCACCCTGTGCCATCTATCTATCTATCTATCTATCTATCTATCTATCTATCTATCTATATACATACATATAATTTTTTTCCTCCAACTACCCTAATACTGAAAAAAGTCTCATGAGTTATAAATACCATCTTTCCATGCAGGAATGTAAAGTTCAACCTTAATAAGTCTCTTATGATTTCTCTTTCTGTTTACCTCTTCATGTTCACTTGAGTCTGTATTTGAAAGTCAAATTTTCTATTCAGCTCTGGTCTTTCATCAAGAATGCTTGAAAGTCTTCTATTTCACTGAATAACCATTTTTTCCTCTGAAGGATTATACTCAATTTTGCTGGGTAGGTGATTCTTGGTTGCAATCCTATCTCCTTTGCCCTCCAGAATATTATTTTCTGTGCCCTGTGGTCCTTTAATGTAGAAGCTACTAAATCTTGTGTTATCCTGATTGTGTTTCCACAGTACTTGAATTGTTTCCTTCTGACTGCTTGCAATATTTTCTTCTTGACCTGGGAACTCTGGAATTTGGCTATAATATTCCTAGGAGTTTTCCTTTGGGGGTCTCTTTCAGGAGGAGATGGGTGGATTCTTTCAGTTTCTATTTTGCCCTCTGATTGTAATATATCAGGGCAATTTTCCTTGATAATTTCTTGAAAGATGATGTCTAGGCTGTTTTTTTGATCATGGCTTTCAAATAATCCAATAATTTTTAAATTCTCTCTGTTTTTCCAATGAGATATTTCACATTGTTTTCTAATTTTTCATTCTTTTGGATTTGTTTTACAGTGTCTTGATTTCTCACAAAGTCACTATCTTCCAATCGCTCTATTCTAATTTTTAAGGAAGTATTTTCTTCAGTAAGCTTTTGGACTTCCTTTTCCATTTGGCCAATTTTGCTTTTTGGGGCATTTTTCTCCTCATTGGCTTTTTGGACCTCTTTTGCCATTTGGGTTAGGCTATTTTTAAGGTGTTATTTTCTTCAGTATTTTTGGGGGTCTCCTTTAGCAAGCTGTTGACTTGTTTTTCATGATTTTCTTGCATGACTCTCATTTCTCTTCCCAGTTTTTCCTCTACTTCCCTTACTTGCTTCTCAAAATCCCTTTTGAGCTCTTCCAAGGCCTGGGACTGATTCATATTTTTCTTGGAGGCTTTGGATGTAGGAGCTTTGACTTTGTTGTCTTCTTCTGGTTGTATATTTTGATCTTCTTTGTCACCAAAGTAAGATAATATAATCTGACTCTTTTTGCACTGCTTGCTCATGATCCCTGTGAGTTACTTGAGTTTTAAACTCTTTGTTAAGGTAAGAGTCTGCTTCCAATGTGGAGAATGTACTGTCTCAAGCTTTGGGGGTTTGTAGAGCTGATTTCAGAGATACTTGTAGGGACATGTAAATTTTTAGTCCTTCCAAGGTGGTATGATAAAGGGTGGGGTGTTTACCTCTTTCCTGTCCTGTGACCACAAGTACTCCTTTCTGTCTTGGAACTGTGAGGAGGGTCCTCTCCACAGACACTCCAAGCTCCACCACGCCAGGGCTCCTCCTCACCTCAGGATCGCCACCCAGAACTGTGACCCAGATCCAAACACAGGCAAAGCAAGAGATTCCTGCCTCAGCACTGGCAAAGAGATCCCTACAATCCCTCTCTGATCAGCCACTGGATTCCCCTCAGTCATGGGCCAGAAGCTCAGGAGGCAGCTGCCCCCACCCCAGGGCCAAGCTCTTGGGGAATGGAGCTGAGACCCTGAGTTCCTCTCTCAGCACTGCAGAAACAGACTTTTCCCACTGACCTTCTAAGTTGTCTTTGGCATTTGTGGATTGAGGAGTCTGGAAACCACCACAGCTGTCCTCGATTCAGTCCTCTGAGGCCTGCTCCAGGTTTGCTGCAGCCTGTGTGCCCATGCTGCACTATGCTCCTCTCACAGCCTGGCTCGATACATCTTTCTGATCAATCATCCAGGTTGTTTTGGGCTGGAAATTTGTTTCACTCTGTCTTTTTGTGGGTTCTGATGCTTTAGAATTTGTTTAGAGCCATTTTTTATGAGTATTTGGAGGAGTTTGGGGGAGAGCTCAAGCAAGTCACTGCTTTAACTCAGCCATCTTGGCTCCACCACCACCCCCAAACTCAAAATCTTATGGAAGTAAATGTTGAAAACTAAAAATAAATACATTTTTGGAAAAAGAAAACCCAAATGGGGTCACAAAGAGTTGGACATGACTGAAACAACTGAACAACATGTGACTATAAGCAAGGCAAAAACTGACCCCCCAAACCTCAACACCATTCCCTTTCCTTGTGATATTTTCAGCTTATTGTTTTTCATCCCAGCGCAGGATCCTAGAAATGATGCTGAAAAGAACCTTGGCGATCCCTGAACCTGGCCCACCCCAACTTTTTACAAACAAGAAAATTTAAGAGTCAGAGAAGGAAATGACTTGTCAGAGGTCACAAAAGCTTCAAGAGGCAGAGCCAAGAATCCAACATGAGATTCCTGATGGCATGGACGTTGCCCCCTCTACCATGCCATCCAAACAGGCTTGCACTGAGTACCTATTTCAGGGGTTCTGAAAAGTGGGGAACAAATAGTTCCTCAAGTCTCAGGGTACAAATTTTCAATGCCTTTATATTGTGTGCCTGCTTACAAACATTCATCATAAAATTACCCAACCCTTGTCGAAATCTGGCTCCAGTGTGTTATTTTCTGAACCCTTTCAAAAATACAGTACTGAAGCTGGTTCAACTTCACCAACCTTCATTTTTAAAATATTCATTTTCCAAAAACAGAATTCAGTGGCCCCATCAGTGCAATAGCTTTACAGCTGTGCAGGTTGCAACAGTGAGAGGTGATGTGATCTGGTAGGAAGAGGCTTGGGCCATGGAAAGACCACCGAATTTGAAACCTAAAGGCCTGGGATTAAATCCTGACTCTGCTATTTCATACCTTATAGGGCCTTGAGCAAGTCACATCCTCTTTGGGGATCAGTTTCTTCATCTGTAGAATGAAGAATGATCTCTGAGGCTCTTTCAATTCTAATCTATGATTCTATGACTGAGTTAAAAATCTAGCTTTGGGTCTGCTATTTGTGAGGTACTTCCCCTGTGGGTTTCAGTTTCCTCATTTATAAAATAAGGAGATCTGAGATCCCATTAAATGAATTCAAAGGTCAGTTCTAGCTCCATAGCTATACATCTAGGAGCATTTATTGAGCATCTACTATGTGCCTGGCCTTGAGGCGGCTGCTGCTGCTGAAAAGACAAAAATGGGGGGAAAAAAAAAAGCCCTGCACCCAAAGAATTTACATTCTTTATGAGGGAGGGGGGCACTTGAGTAGACTTAAGTAAATATAAAATAAATACAAAGAAAATAAGAAGTAATATTGGAAAGGAGGCCTCAACAGATGAGAGAATCAGGAAAGGCTTCATATAGGAGCTGGTGTCTGAGCTGAGCTTTGAGGGAAACCAGGGAGTCTAAGAGATAGGGGTGAGAGAGAGAAGGCATCCCTGTATTGTCACAGCCTGGGAAAGGGCCAGGAGACTGGAGATGGATTATGTCGTGTGAGAAGCAGCAAGCAGGACTCTTTGGCTGGATTGGAGAGTGAATAAAGGGTAATAAGCCTCTAGTTGGATTTACACTTTTTTTTGCACAAATATCAATAAACATTTGTGGCCTGAGAGTAGAGAAGCTATCCGTCACCTATGCTCTGTAGGAGCTGGAAGTCTTTCGAAAAATAAATTCAGCATAGGAGCTCTGCCTGTGTCTGGGAAAGGTATATGTCTTTCAGCATAGGAGCTCTGCCTGTGTCTGGGAAAGGTATATGTCTTCCAAATGGATTCAACATGAGAGCGACTCCACTAACCTCCCAGCTGACGAGAGCCCTTCCATTGTGGAGATTTTTCTACTCCATTGGCACCTGCCTACCAAATATATGGGAGATGAAAATTAGCTTCCTTTCAGCCAGTTCAGGTGTGAGCTCCATACTGCCTGCGTCCTCACTGGGCAAAGGCTGACTTCACTCCCCCTCTCCCCCAATAAACTCAAATGACCTCCTCCCAAAACAGATCCACCAATGGCAGGAATGCTAGGAGTCCTCAGAAATGCCCTCTCTGGTGGCAGATCCCTCCTCCCTCCCCCTTCCAGGCCTTCCTTAGCTTTGGCCGGACCTTAATAGAGTACTCCGTCTTGATCTGGGCTCCCCTAAGAAAAATGAATGCGAAGAATTTACAGAAAACTCAATGGAGTGGCACAGAATTGAAGAATAAGGCTTCGGAGGGAAGGTTCAGGTACCGGGGTCACTCAAGGCCCCAAGGGAGAGCCGACAGGTGACTGTGTTTGCTCGTCAGGCACATCAGCCTGTTATCCGGAGGCCGGTGACCAGCTGCTTCTCCTCGGAGGGGTTTATATGTGTCATGGTACAGACGAGAGGTGGGCCCCAAAGACTGAGGGGAAGCTCAGAGGGCCGGCACCAGCCCTGGGCGAACCAGGGAGGGCAGGGAGCCTACGCTGAGCCTCAGCGAGAAGACTGTCAACTCCAACCCTTTTATTTTAAAGAAGAGGAAAAAAGAAGCCCACAGTAGTGAAGTGGCTTGGGGAAGAGGATTTCTCCCATCTACCTCTCCCCGTCCAGCTCCCTCCTCCTTGGCCAGCCCCCACCCCGCAGCAGCAGGGGTAAACCCACTCCAGACCCGCCCCCAGCTCCGCCTCCTCCCTTTGCTAGGTTCCCATGGCAACAAAGGACGCTTCTGCTGAGAGCGTGAGAATGGCCAGTCCCACTTCATCCCTGATCCAGGTATGAGTTCCCTCCTTCCCTCTCTTCCCTCCCCACTGGGTCTCAGCCCCATGGGACCCCTGGAGGGGTCGTATCTTCCAAGTCTCTGGACTGGCAACAGGGGAAATGAAGGTATAGGTTGGGGAAAGGGGGTGCTAAGGTTTCTAGATGAGGTGGAAGAACCGGTAACTTTGAGAACCTGAAGGTTTAGCGCTGGGAGGGAGCTTAGCGAGCATCCAGTCCAATGACCTCATTTTATAGACAACGAGAGCGATTCTGAGTCTGCAGAGAGGGCTGGGCTCGGCGTCAGGAAGCCAGGTTCAAATCCCTGCTCCAATACTTCCTAGCCAGGCCTTAGTTCCCCTCTCTTTAAAATGAGGGGAGAGATGGACTGGATGCCCTCTAAGATTCCTTCCAGCTGTAAATCTATTATTATAACTTGGCCAAAGCCACAGTAAATATCAGAGCTAGGATTTGAACCCAGGGCTCTGACTCCAAATTCAATGCAGTTTGCAAGCTCTTTGAAGTTTTTTATCGTTTTAATAAAATACAGCATCTTCTATCTAATAAGAGATAAACTACATCAGACATAGAACTAGAAACACCCTCTGAGATCAAGGCTAGGCCCCTCACTGTAAAGATGAGGAAACTGAGGCCAGGACACTCGAAGTGACTTGGCACAGATTGCAAATAGATTTCACCATCTAGCCTCCAAGAAAGTTTGAGAGACAGGAAATCTAGAGTCATCATAATAATAATAACTTTTATATAGCAACTTATAAAGCACTTCCCCACTACACTTCTGTGACAGCCTGGGCAACAGAAAGAGTATTTACCCCCTTTACAAAACCAAGGCTCAGAGAGGGAGCTGGCTTGCTCACTGTCACACAGCCAGTGGGAATAGTACAAAATTAGGAGTCAGAGAGCCAGGGATCCTGCTGGCTGGACTCTGGCTCTTAAAACCTGTGTGACCCCAGGCAAGTGACTCAGGCCTCTCTGGGTCTCATGAATTCTCCTTGATGAGGGGCTTGACCTAGATCTGCCACTGCATAATGAAAAAAGCAGAGATTCAGAAGATGTAGGTTCAAGTCCTGGTTGGGGCCTCCGTTTCTTCGTAAGTCAAATGAGGTTCTCGAACGCCCCTTCTAAATCCTTTGATGCTTGTAAGAGGAAACTGTACCATTTGCTCTCATGAACAGGGCTTAGGGAGAAAGTCAGCAAGCATTTTTTCCTTTTACATGTTTTTTAAAAAAATTATTCTGTTAAATATTTCCCAGTTACATGTAAAAAAAGGTGTTTTTTTAAACAATTTTTTAAAAAAATGAGTTCCAAATTCTTTCCCTCCCTCCTGTTCATTTTTTATATTATTATTGAGTGGGCAAGCAATTTGATATTGCTTATACATTTGAAGTCATGCAAAACATTTCCGTATTAGCTATGTTGCAAAAGGAAACACAAACAAAATAAAACACAAAAATAATGAATTTTTTAAAGTCTGCTTCAACCTGCACCCATTGGTTTCTCTCTCTCTCTCTCTCTCTCTCTCTCTCTCTCTCTCTCTCTCTCTCTCTCTCTCTCTCTCCCTCCCTCCCTCCCTCCCTCTCTCTTTCTCTGGATAACATTTTTTATCATGACTCGTTTAAAATTGTCATAGATCATTGTGTTGATCAGAGTACTTAAATCTTTCACAGTTGATCATCATTACAATATTGTTGTTACTGTGTGCAATGTTCTCCAGGTTCTACTCACTTCACTCAGCATATAAGTTCATATAAGTCTTTCCAAGATTTTTCTGAAAGCATCCTGCTCATTATTTCTTATAACACAATAGTATCACATCACAATCATATACCACAACTTGTTCAGCCATTCCCCAATTGATGGGCATCCCCTGTATTTCCAATTCTTTGTCACAAAAAGAGTTGCTAATAATTTTTTTTTGTACAAATACATCCCTTTCCACTTTCTTTGATCTCTTTGGCATACAGACCTAGTATTGCTGAGTCAAAGGGTATATATAATTTTATAGCCCTTTGGGTATAGTTCCAAATTGTTCTCCATAATGGTTGGATCAGTTCTCAACTCCACAAATAGTGCATTCATGTCCCTATTTTTCTACACCCATCTAGCATTCATCTCTTTCCTTTTCTGTCATGTTAGCCAATCTGAGAGGTATGAGGTGGTATCTCAGAGTTGTTTAAATTTGCATTTCTTTAATCAGTAGTTTTTTAGAACATTTTTTCATGTGATTATAAATAGCTATGACTTCTTCTGAAAACTGCTTGTTCATATCTTTTGACCATTTATCAACTGGGGAATGGCTTTTATTTTTATAAATTTGGCTCAGTTCCCTATATATTTGGGAAATGAAGCTTTTATCAGAGAAACTCCCTATAAAACTTTTTTTCCCAAATGTCCTTTTTTCCTTCTAATTTTGTCTACATTAGTTTTGTTTGCACAAAATCTTTTTTCATTTCATGACATCAAAATCATTTATTTTGCTTCCAGTAATCCTCTCTGTTTCTTGTTTATCAAAACTTTCCCCTTATTCATATATCTGACAGGTACATTTTTCCATGCTCCCCTAATTTACTTATATCACCCTTTATGTCTAAATCATTTATCCATTTTAACATTATCATGCTATACAGTGTCAGATGTTGGTCTATGCCTAGTTTCTTCTGAACTGCTTTCCAGTTTCCCTAGCAATTTTTGTCAAATGTTGAGTTCTTATCTCAAAAGCTAGTATCAGATCATCAAGTGCCTAGTATATGCCATTCACTGTGCTAAGTGCTAGGAAAACAAACATAAGCAGAAAGATAGTCCCTGCCCTCAAGGAGCTTATGTTCTAATGAGAGATGATGAAAAATAAAAAGAAGTTGAAGGAGTAAAGGGAATAGCAGTAGTAGTAGTAGTAGTAGTAGTAGTAGTAGTAGTAGTAGCAGTAAGTATTAGGAGTAGCAACAGCAGCAGTAGTAGTGGTGGTGATAGTGGTGGTAGTAGTAGTAGTAGTAGTAGTAGTAGTAGTAGTAGTAGTAGTAGTAGTAGTAGTAGTAGTAGTAGTAAAGAGATTTGGGGTGCTAGAACCCTGAGAGTGCCAAGAATTGTCTAGAATGAATTCACACACTCAACCTTCTTTCAGTCAAGTGGCAAAAAGTTTATTGTAATGCCAATAGTAGCAGGCAAAGTTCCTTTGGGGCACTTGCAACAATGGGGGTGAATCTAGTTTATATAGAAAAGGGGCATGGAAAGGAATGTTGAGGAGCTGATTAGGTAATGCATGGGGTCCAGGTGTCTTTGGGAGCAGGCATCAGTAATCTGTGGATGAGAGAATTCAGCGAGTCAGCAGAGACAACTTTGTTGATATTAGACACTGAAGGAGAAAAGAGAGGTTTGTTTTGTGTTGTTCATCTGTTAGGTTACCAGAGGCATGAACTTTGGGGATTTGGCACAAAGGACAGTTTTTGGGCCAGCCAGGGACAAAAATCCTTAGGCCAGTATCCCTGTGTCTGAGGCCTACCAAGAGATTGTAAGGCCTCCAGAGACATGATCTTAGAGCTGAAGCCCGAGCACGATCACCCCACCACTTGTAGTAGTTGTAATAGTGGTAGTAGTAGTAGCAGTGGTGATCTAAATTCAAATCCTGCCTCCAACACTTATTACCTGTGTAAATCTGGGCAAGTCACTTAACCTCTCTAGGCCTCAGTTTCCTCATCTGTAAAATGGGAATATTAGCAGCTACCCCTGCAAGTTGTGATGATCAATAATAATGATGATAACAGACAGATGTCAAGTGCTTTCGCAAACTTAAAGACCTCTAGAAATGTAGATTATTATTATTATTAACTGACTGTATTATTGTGAGAAGGATGCCTCCCAAACCTTAAAGCTCTATAGAAACATGACTTCTTGATTTTTCTGCATCAGATCTTCTGTGCTGCCTTCTTGTGCCCTGCCTATGGCTACTCACGAGAGACATGAATCTCTGCCCTTCCTTGCTGAGCACATCAATATTTCCGCTCTGCACTTTGTCTAAATATACAGTGTGGCTAAGTCATAGATGGCTTGGAACTGAGCTTGAAGAGAACAAGAGCAAATGAACCCAGGCTTGTGATGTTCTGAGAGAAGGCCACATCTCTCATTCCACATATTACTCCCACCCTCGATTCCAAATAGAAACCACCAAACTGAGGCCACAAGTTCCCCCTTCCCAGACCTTTCTGTTTTAAAACAACTTACACATAAGAAGTAATTTTAGCAACAACTTTGTAACCAAACACTTTGTAACTTAGATAATCCAAACAACATTTCCTGAGTAGGAGATAAGCATTCTCTGCAGATTACAAATGAAGAAACTAAGTAACAAGTCATTAGATGCCTTATGGAGAGCCACCTTGCAGGTCATGGGCAAAGTTGCCAGTTCCCCCAGAGTTCCAGATGCCCAGGCTTCTATTCAGGCTAGAACATGCTGGCTCTCCAATGTGCTTTTTCATTTTTAGGCAATTGAGGTTAAGTGACTTGCCCAGGGTCACACAGCTAGTAAGTGTTAAGTGTTTGGTCTGAGGCTAGATTTGAACTCAGGTCCTTCTGACGTCAGGGCCAGTGCTCTATCCACGTCACCTAGCTGCCCCTCCCATGTGCTTTTAAAAGTAGGGATACATCAAAACATACTTTAGTTTGTATTTGTTTAGACAGCTAAGTGGCATGATGGCTAGAGTGCTGGACTTGAAATCAGAAAAGACCTGAATTCAAATCCAACCCCAGATACTTACTAGCTGTATGACCTTATGAAAGTCATGTAACTTCCCCATACTTTGGCTTTCTCATCTGTAAAACAGAAATAATAAGAATAATAAACATTTGTGTGGCACTTACTATATGCTAGGCACTGTCACCAACAAAAGAGCTGATGGGATCCTTGGTTTTATGCCAGACGGAAGGTCCAGTAGCTGATTGAGAGACTGGCACCTTTCCATGGCTAGGAAGGAAAATCTAAGGATTGTAATGAGCTCATTAGTTTGATTCATTCCTTATGAAAATGGAAAATGGCTTCTTTTTCGGGAGATATCAACCTTTAGATCAATTGCTTAAAAGGTCTGTCTGACAATGAATAACAACAGCTGCAGTCATGT